GTTAGGTGTGTAGTAGGCTAAGCCATCGAGGTTTGTGTAGGTATATTCTATGATATTTGAACAATGACAAAATCACTTAATGATGCATTTATCAAAACATGCCCTCATCTTTAAGTGATGCATGACTGTGTATCTCCCCTGAAGAAATAGCCATTCATTTGGTTAGCCTAGTTTGATGAAAATGTCTTATCATGAAACCCAACTCCTATATTCTGGGTTTACCAAGCTGTCTTCTAATCTGTGGTTTAGCCCTTTGACTGCACTGATTATCAGGCAGGCATCCTCCCATTATGCATGGACACATGGGCATTACGTTTGTTCAGTCAGCCTTTCACGAGTTTGTTTAAGCAATTAATTGCTAGAGCATGTATGTAACAGAAACTTTGAGATTCTGGCTTCAAAGCTGAGAACAGTCCCAGCTTCATGGTGACCCATCTTAACATGGAAGAGCCAACCAAGCTAAGACTCTGTATCTCTCTTTAACTTCAACAAGGTCATTCACCTAAAAGGAGGATTAATAAAGATAGAGCGTGGCATGTTCATTATGTGGTCCTGACAATACTGGTCAGCCCTGGAACATGGTAGTCCTGGGTTTGTACAGCTACTGTTTTTGGTGTAGTCTTGGGAAGACTACCATCTCCCTAAGCCTCTATTTTGATTCTTCTACTATTAAATGGTAAAAATAACACATTTTGCATGCGGTCATTGCAAAAACTAAATGGAATGATATACATGAAGTCTAGGCAAAATAAAATGATAACTACTCAGAGGCAAATTTTCTATGAAGTTAATCAAGTTTCCTGGGCCCTAAAATGTATTCATATAGTCCTATGGTTTTAAAATTATAAATTTAAGATATCTTTGCTATTATTATTATTATTAATTTTTTTTATCATACTTTAGGTTCTGGGGTACATGTGCGGATTACGCAGAATTTGTTGCATAGGTGCATACATGACAGTATGTTTTGCTGCCTCCATATCCCCATCACCTATATCTGGCATTTCTCCCCATGTTAACCCTCCCCAACCTCCCTACACACTGCTGTCCCTCCCCTATTCCCCCCCAACAGACCCCAGTGTGTGATGATTATTTTTCTTTACTACTTTTTTTTGTTTTGTTTTAGACAGGGTCTCACTCTGTCACCTGGACTGGAGTGCAATGGCACGATTTTGGTTCACTGAAATCCCTGCCTCCCAGGCTCAAGCGATTCTCTCACTTCAGCTTCCTGAATAGCTGAGATCACTGGTGCGCGGTACCACCACCTGGCTAATTTTTGTATTTTTAGTAGAGATGGGTTTTTACCATGTTGGCCAGGCTGGTCTCAACTCCTGAGCTCTAGTGATCCACCTGCCTCAGATTCCCAAAGTACTCGAATTACAGGCACGATCCACCACATCCAGCTGATTTTCAAAAACTTCTTTATGCCTCTTAACATAACTCTGTAACAGTGTGAGCACTGGAGCTATGGCAGCCATCTTGTAACCATGAGGACAAGCTGCTGCTGAAAGTCATGGTGCTGAGGCTGACAGAGGAGTAATATAGTATTTAGTGCTTGATGACATCAATATGCCACTCTATATATGCCAGTTTTTGTTTGGAATGTCAGATTGTGTGAAATAATACATTTTTCTGATTATTTAGGCCATTTTGATTTGCATAACACCTGGGTTAATATCAGCCCAGAAAGTAGAAAAGAAAAACAATAATTATCCTACCTAAAGTAGTTTTATTTTATAGCATTTAATTTTTTAAATTAAATATTTAGAACATACAAGAATATATATATGTATATATATATATATGTATACACACACACACACACACACACACGTGTGTGTATATATATATATATATATATTTTTTTTCCCCCCAAGATAGAGTCTCACTCTGTCACCCAGGCAGGAGTGCAGTGGCACCATCTCAGCTCACTATAACCTCACCCTTCCAGGTTCAAGTGATTCTCCTGCCTCAGCCTCCCGAGTAGCTGGGATTACAGGCACGTGCCACCATGCCCAGCTAAGTTTTTTGTATTTTTAGCAGAGACAGGATTTAACTGTATTAGCCAGGATGGTCATATCTCCTCACCTCCTGATCTGCCTGCCTTGGCCTCCCAATGTGCTGGGATTACAGGCATGAGCCACTGCACCTGGCACAATTTTCTATTTTTAAAAAAATCTCATGTTCGGGGCTGGGCGAGGTGGCTCACACATGTAATTCCAGCACTTTGGGAGGCCAAGGTGGGAGAATCATGAGGTCAAGAAATCGAGATCATCCTGGCCAACATGGTGAAACCCCGTCTTTACTAAAATATAAACAGTTAGTCAGGCATGGTGGCACGTGCCTATAGTCCCAACTACTCAGGAGGCTGAGATAGGGGAATTGCTTGAACACCCGGGAGGCTGAGATTGCAGTGAGCTGAGATTGTGCCACTGCACTCCAGCCTGGTGACAGAGAGAGACTCTGTCTCAAAAAAAAAAAAAAAAAAAAGTTCAGCAAAATCATGCATCCCAAGTTTTATGAACAAAATAGAGTTAAGGACAGACCACTCAAAACATTAAGAAGTTGTAAGTAGAGCCCTGATAAAAAAACAACTGTCCAAATAAATATCCTGACACAGTTTGTTTTCTGTTGGTGTTTGTAGCTAACCACACAGCCAGGTCTTTTTTTGCAGCTTTTTTTTTTTTTTTTTTTTTTTTTTGAGACGGAGTTTCGCTCGTTACCCAGGCTGGAGTGCAATGGCGCGATCTCAGCTCACCGCAACCTCTGCCTGCTGGGTTCAGGCAATTCTCCTCCCTCAGCCTCCCGAGTAGCTGGGATTACAGGCACGCGCCATCAAGCCCAGCTAATTTTTTGTATTTTTAGTAGAGACGGGGTTTCACCATGTTGACCAGGATGGTGTCAATCTCTTGACCTCGTGATCCACCCGCCTCGGCCTCCCAAAGTGCTGGGATTACAGGCGTGAGCCACCGCGCCCGGCCTTTTTTGCAGCTTTTTATCTGGGTACACCTGTTCCTTTCTGAGACATGAAGGTCCTTGAGGACATCTGCTTACTAGAGAGATAAGTTTCACCAAAATTAAAAATACAATCTAGAGGTAGCTTTCTGAAATAATTTTAAACATAAAGAGATGTGACTTTAAAATTTTTCATCTGAACTCTGAATTTCCCTAAATAGCTTACAGGTGAGGAAGGCTTTTTCTTTGTGAGAAAGCCCATTCTACTCACTTCAAAACATAGTGGAAAAATAGCATATGAGCTGATTTGGTTTCTCATGATGATTCTATTCCCCTATTACCTGTCAATGAGAGCCAGTTAGGACTCAGAAAACACTACTGTGGTTAAATGGTAAATTTTATGTTATACATAGTTGGCCACTATATATATTTAAAAATTAAGGACCTACAGAAGCTCTTATATAGTATGTGGGCTATACCTATCAATGTTTACTTTAGTAGTCAATAAAACTGGGATTTTTTTTTTTAAAGAACACCATTATGAATAGATGATGCTAACACTGGTGTATCCATCACTCAGCTTCAGAAATAAAACTTTACTGATAACCTTGAATTCCCATGTGTGTCCTTCCCTGAATGCATTCCTTTGTCTCCCAGAAGTAACAACTATCCAGCATTCAGTGTTAATCATTTCCATGTCTATCTTTATGGGTTTTCTAAATTTAGAATATCCCCAGAGACATATAGTTTAAAATTTTTAAGCCAGCACAGCCATAGTACAGTATGGTATTATTTTATAACTTTTATTGACTTGGTTCATCCACCCTTACAGGTGCCATTGGTCACGCAACCCCCTCCAAAGCAGAGGTGCAATTCTCCTCAGTACTTTGTTAGCATGCCTTGATGTCTTGCTTCCAGTCCCTTTAGAAATTATGGTGGGGACACACCCATACAATTAATGGAATAAACACCCTTTTCTCCTCTCCCTTAGGGCTCCCTCCCACAAACAGGTCCATTGTCCACAGTACTCATTTGTGGGACTACAATATGTTCCCAGCCACAACAGAGCATTACATCGAATAGGAGCTAACATGCATGGGAATCAGAATATGTTTAGAATTACATCTTAGCACACTGAAAATTGGAAGAGCAGCCATTATTGACAGAGACAGTCCTGGCTAATAGATCTGCCTAGTTTTAGGCTGCTTAGGGGACCTGGGGTCCTGGAATAAGAAGCCCCACCCCCTCCTATGAAGAGAGGAAAGCTGGAGACAAAAAGAGGAAGTGATAGATGAATTGCAAAAAACTAATTAGATTGCAACCTCAAGGTAGCATTTCGTACAATAAGTTCTAACAATGTTCTCTTGTTTATATCAACCTCCTTCTCTTAGCCTGGCTTACTAGGCCAGTGTTTAATTCCAATGCTTCTGAGTTAATTTATTCAACTTCATTATTCTTACCATAGTAGCCTCTACTAGGGTTCTCCTCTACCTTCAAAGATCTCATCTAAGTGTAGAAAGCTATTAGATCAAGGAGAGAAATCAGGATGAACTTCCCAGTATATTCATATGGCCTGTGGGTTCTGGAGCCTACGCTTTGGCAACTGAAGCTGAACTTCAGTTGTGGTTGTTGCTAACACTGGTATATCTACCACTCAGCTTCAGAAATAAAACTTTACTGATATCGTCGAATTCCATGTGTGTCCTTTCTTGAATGCTTTGTCACTCAGAGGTAACAGCTATCCAAAATTTGGTGCTTATTATCCCCATGTCTTTCTTTATGGGTTTTCTAAGTTTGGAATATCCCTAGAGACAACTTTGGCAACTGAAGCTGACCTGTGATGGTTGTTGACCTCTGATATGCTACTTTTAAATTAAGAACTTATTTTCCCTCTTTCTCTCTCAGCTCCCACAGGCCCACTCTAGTGACTCATGACTTACATACACAGAACAAGAGAAAAGAAAAACAGAATTAGATAACTGGGCAGGGGCAACAGTGAGGGCTATGTCTTACAAGGAATAATTTTTTTAAAGAGTATCAAATGATTTTATTATGAAAGATAAGCCATTTATTAACACTTTCCTAAAAAAACACAAATGTGAGAATAAAATAAACATACGTGAGACTCACTAGCCCCTGCAGGACAGGAAGCAGCCCTGGACAGAGAGCCTGCAGATGAGTTTCCTTATACCTCATGTCTGAACTTTTCACACATTCTAGGATTTCATGTTTTGTTACCTATTACAAAGGAAAGGAAACTGGCTAGAAGATTGAGGTACAAGAAGGTCACAACTTTAAAGCTATCTGATGCTAATTACTTGTACAATCTAGTTTGGAACTCTGAGAGACAATATCAAATAAGCACTGTCAAATACTACCCCCAGTTAACCTTTATTGTCATTGTTCTTTGAAACTGTCTTTGGGATTGGTTATGCTCTCTCACCATAGCTTTCATTTGTCCCAGAGCACAAACCCTAAAGTCCACGTGCAGTCTCCATGTTCAAGTAAAGTCTGTTTCAGGAAAACCCTGGGTTGCTGTAGTGTTTTTCTCTCTCTGTACTGTCTACTTGTGTCATGCCCTTGGACAGGGGACCAAATGGCAGCACAATGCAGGGGTTGACACGGTCAACTTTCCTGCTGCCGAACTTGCTCCCCTTTCAATCTGTTCACTGCCCATAGTCAAGGTTGAAATCTTTAGACCAGTGACGACCTTGGCCTATCTTCAGTCTGAAGTTGCCCTCTTATGTAACTGAATCCATTTCTTCACCAAAAATTGAGCTTTCAAAAGGTGTCAGGCATATTCTTAGGAAGTGTCCTGAGATGGAGCTGGTGGGTCCTGGCCTTCAAGCTCTGGAGGGGGGTGCTGGCACAGCTGCTTTTTTTCCTGGGCGGCCAGGAACTCATGAATTGCTGGTTCTATTTGTGGCCTGAAGATGTGGTTTAGTTTTGGATCCACCACCTGAGAAATAATCCTCTCTACTCCAGCTTCCAACATCCCTGACTGAACCACACTCTGCCTCAGACCATTTTGCAACTGGCTTTTGATCATTGTAGGATTCCATTCCTGCTTGTCCAGATACGTTGACACAAAATTATCTACTTTCTGCCTCAGGTTTTGGTAAGCTGGCTTTGTGTCCACATCGGCCAGGCAGTCCCGGTGGAAGCTGTCAAAAAAGGCCAGGGCTCTTGAGCTGCTCCAACGATGAGAGTGATGAGTTGCAGGTCGCCGGGAGATAGCAAGGCTGGGTTGATGGGGCCACTGTCCCCAGTAGCGCCTGTCGCTTCCCTGGCAGAGGCCTGGCCGGCTCCGCTGCCGCTGTCTGCCTTAGCTGTGCCCTGGGCCCACAAAGAAGACCGACTATAGCTTCTTCTCCAGAACAGAAGGCCTAAAATGTGTAGAGGTGGCAAAAGGGGCGGTGAAGGAGAAGGGCCCCAAGGAGGCGGAGGCAGAAATGACGGTGGTGACGGTGGTGGTGGTTGTGGTGGTGGCGGCGGGGATGGCGGGGGCGGTGGTCAAGGAATCATTTTTAATTGAATTCTTTTTCTCTCTTGAAATTCTTGTTTTCTCTCAAAAGTGGGGAAAACTCTCAAATAACAAGAGCAAACAAGAAAGCAGCCTATTCTGCACTGCATTTGCATTTCTTAGTTTCATTCCCTATTCCAAAATGTCTGAGGCAAATGTGTTCTGACAGTAGAAATGAACATGCACTCAGGCTGGGCGCTGTGGCTCATGCCTATAATCCCAGCACCTTGGGAGGCCGAGGCGGGTGGATCACGAGGTCAAGAGATCGAGACCGTCCTGGTCAACATGGTGAAACCCCGTCTCTACTAAAAATACAAAAATTAGCTGGGCATGGTGGCGCGTGCCTGTACTCCCAGCTACTCGGGAGGCTGAGGCAGGAAAATTGCTTGAACCCAGGAGGCGGAGGTTGCAGTGAGCCAAGATCACACCACTGCACTCCAGCATGTGTAACAAGAGCAAAACTCCGTCTCTCAAAAAAAAAAAAAAAAAAAAAAAAAGAAATGAACATGTACTTTAAAATTATAGGATCTAGTAGATTTAATGGAATGAACCCTGGATTGGGAGAGCCAGGGGAACTGGCTTGGAATGGTCCCAACCCAGCCATTTATTTAGTTTCTTCACTTATAAAATTAAATACACCATCTACTGATGAATAGATAAACAAAATATGATATATCCACAGAAGGGAATACTGCTCAACCATAAGAAGGAATGAAGTATGGACATGTGCTATAACGTGGATGTGCCTTAAAGACATTATGCTAGGTCAAAGAAGCCAGACACAAAGACCATAAATTACACAATTCCACTTACATAAAATGTACAGAATAGCTAAATCTAAGGACATAAAGTAGATTAGCTAATGGGTACAGGTATCTTTCTGGGTTGATGAAATGTTCCAAAATTGATTATGGTGATGGTTGTATTTAGAACTCTGCATATACTGAAAACCATTTAACTGTACACTTTAAATGAGTGAATTGTATGGCATGTGAATTATATCTCAATAAAGTTGTTTAAAAAAAAAGAAAAAAAATGAAACAGTGATTTCTAGCCAGCCCAGATATGTTGTGAGGCTCAAATGATTTTTTACAAATAAGAAAACTACTTCCAAATATACAATGAAAATTATTTTAGACTTAATTATTCCTTAAATTAGAGGTTGATATAATAAAGGAATTTTCCCAGTGAGAATGGGCATTTCTATAGACCAGAGTTGTACCTCTGCTTATACAGTTCTGTGGATGAAGATCAGGGAGGAGGAGCAGTTTAAAGTTGGTGAGAATGGTGAGGGGAGGGAACAAATGGCTTTGTATAGATCTTTGAGGTCAGGGATTATTTCTATCTTGTTCTCTTTTGTAATCCCAGTACCTAGCACAATGTCTGACTCAATAAATGTGAATCAGTGAATAATGAATCAATGGTCAAACCAATGAACTGAGGATCTGAATGAAAATGATGAGACACTTTCACTTAGCCAATAAACTTTTACTAGCCAACAAATTCAGATATCACTTTAATGTTGACAGCGACTTGGGCTTTTGGGTATTATACCTGTTCCATTGCTAAGAGAGCGATAGTTATCTTTTATGTGTTGCACATCCAATGGTGTCTCTCTGTTACCCATGCTGGAGTGCAGTGGTGTGATCATGGCTCACCACAGTCTCAACTTCTTGCACTCAAGCGATCCTCCCATATTAGCCTCCTGAATAGCTGGTACTACAGGCATGTACCACCTCCTCGATAATTTTTTATTTTATTATTTTGTAGAGATAGGCTCTCAGTGTGTTGCCCAGGCTGATCTTGAACTGCTGGGCTCCTGCAATCTGCCTGCCTTGGCCTCCTAAAGCACTGGGATTACAGGTGTGAGCCACCACACCTGGCCAAAAGTTTTAATGTATAAAAACTTCGTCAGTATTGTGGCTAAGATTCACTCTATCTTCTATTAGTTGTTATGACTCAAGGAGAGTTGGCCTCTAGAACAAAAACATCCTTAGGCTTGGGCTAGTCATGCCAAGAGCCCTGAGTGACTGTGGAGCGAGCTGAGAGGTCTGCTTTGCTGAAAGACAAAGACAACGCATTCATAAGGTGGTTTGGAATTAGGGCAACAATTTTGTGTGGTCCTGTCACTGTAAGTCACTGTGATGGGACAGTAATCACCAACCTTGGGGAGAAGTAACCATTCTCTAGTTCTCTACTTTTGCCATGTGGGAAAAGACTTGTGGGTTTGGACCAGATTGACGTCATGGCAAACAAGTGCCATTTACATCCGAAAAGCCGAAGTCAAAAGGAGAGCAATTCAAGGGGAGAACACTCCACTTCCTCTGATGGGTTCTTGAGTTCCCTGCTCTTTTTTCACTAAACTTTTCCAAGAAAATTCCCTGTCATCCAAAAACTCTAACTGAAACCCCTCTGAAGGACCAGTCATGTCTGATGTGTAAGTAACAGCCATGGAAATGTGGTTGACGAACTGAACTTTAGGATCTGGACTGCTCAGGGCAACAGCTACTTCACTCAAGGCCTGGAAATTTCCATTTAGAAAATAAATCTGGCTTAAGAAAGGATTTCCTCATGACGTGGAAAAAATGGACAATCAGTCAGCTTGACAAATGAGACTTCCTCATGACAGCTGGTAAAGAAAAGCTTTAGGAAACACAAGGGAAGCTTGAAACAGTGCAATTTAACTGGGTGCCAAAGCCTCCTTGCAGACAGAGGAGCTCTAGGTTTCCCCATTTATGATCAGACAGTAACCCCTTCCTATGCAGGAGACTTGGCAGCAGTGACAGCAGAAGCCTTATTTGCAAAGGGGCTTTTCTTCACCTTTTATTTTCCTCCTTATACCCGTAGTCACTTACTTGGACAACATGTCCTAGAGTTAAACAGCAGTATACTCTAAACTTCAAAAGCCTCAACAAAAAATGACTTGTCTAAGAGAATTGTGTATATCACACAAAGTAGATCATCTTTTCATCCACTCCTCCACTGATTTTTTCCAAAACAGACATCTGAAAAGCCAGGAAACCAAGAAAGGAACAAATAAACACAAACCACTAGTAAAACCAGCTCCCTTAATAAAAAATAGCTTCCAATCTCCAGCTTCCTGATTTGGATTTGATAAACACCTTAAATATGTTTGGCTATGACTTTGGATTATTCTGCCTCTGATGTTAATTTATTGTAGATCATAAATCCGTCGTCCAGTGGCTTGTGCTTGCTCAGAGGCAGTTTGAGGGATGCTGCAAGCATGAACTCTGAAGTCAGGCAGAGCTAGGCTAGAATCAGACTCTGTGTACCAGCTGTCTAAATTGGTAAACTTGGGAAGTGACTTAGCATTTCTAATTTTCATCTGTAAAATGGGGATAATAGTAGCCTCAGATTTGCTATAAGAATCTAATCAGCTTATATATGTAAATGAGAAAATAATATAGAATAATCCCATACCTGTCCCTATCTACTCCCCTTTCTCCAGATAATCAATTTTATTTCTTTCTTATCACTCCAGAGATTCTTTAGGCAAATGTAAGCAAATTAAATATATATCCTTCTTTTGCCTTCTTGCTTACATAAAAGGAACATGTAACTACTCTGTACCTTGTTTTTTTCTCTTAATCTATCTGGGAAATCTTTCCATATCAGTACACAGAGAACATCCTCATTCCTTTTTTTTTTTTAACAGCAGTATGAGATTCCATTGTGTGGCTGTAACACAGTTTATTTAACCATCTTTTATTGGAAGACATTTGGACTATTCCCAAACATTTCCTATAACAAATAAAGCTGCAGTGAATATTCTTGTACATAGTGTCATTTTGCATGTATGTGAGTATATCTAAAGGGTTTATACATTTGAAGTTTTTTTTTTTTCTTTTTTTTTTTTTGAGACGGAGTTTTCACTGTTGTTACCCAGACTGGCGTGCAATGGCACGATCTCGGCTCACCGCAACCTCCGCCTTCTGGGTTTAAGCAATTCTCCTGCCTCAGCCTCCTGAGTAGCTGGGACTACAGGTGCGCACCACCATGCCCAGCTAATTTTTGTATTTTTAGTAGAGACAGGGTTTCACCATGTTGACCAGGATGGTCTCGATCTCTTGACCTCGTGATCCACCCACCTTGGCCTCCCATAGTCCAGGGATTATAAGGGTGAGACACCGCGCCTGGCTCATTTGACGTTTTTAAAACAACTTTATTACATAAAATTTATTACAGCTGTAATTTGATGGGTTTTGCCAAATTGCCCTCCAAAGGAGTTGTATCATTTTGTACTAACCAGCAATGTATGAAGGTGTACAATAAACTATTAGAAGTGGGCACTTACAGAAGGTAGGGTAGGTGGGCCCAAAGAGAATTTCAAGTTTCTTTAAAATATGATATGTGGCCGGGCACGGTGGCGTATGCCTGTAATCCTAGCACTTCTGGAGGCTGAAGTGGGTGGATCACCTGAGGTCGGGAGTTTGAGACCAGCCTGGCTAACATGGTGAAACCCTATCTCTACTAAAAGTACAAAAATCAGCTGGGCGTGGTGGTATGAACCTGTAGTCCTAGCTTCTCAAGAAGCTGAGGCAAAAGAATCACTTGAACCTGGGAGGTAGAGGTTCCAGTGAGCCGAGATCATGCCATTGCACTCCAGCCTGGGTGACAGAGCGAGACTCTGCCAATAGACTGGATTGGAAAAATGTGACACATATACACCATGGAATATTATGCAGCAATCAGAAATGATGAGTTTGTGTCGTTTGTAGGGACATGGATGAATCTGGAGAACGTCATCCTCAGCAAACTGACACAAGAACAGAAAATGAAACACCGCATATTCTCACTCATAGGTGGGTGATGAAAAATGAGAACACATGGACACAGAAAGGGGAGTACTAAACACTGGGGTCTATTGGGGGAAAAGGGGAGGGCCAGTGGGAGGGGGAGGTGGGGAGGGATAGCCTGGGGAGAAATGCCAAATGTGGGTTAAGGGGAGAAGGAAAGAAAAGCACACTGC